GCACTTAGCTATTGTAACATCCTGAGCGCTGACGAGGGCGGGGAGTGATCGCCAATGCGAAAGGGCATGGACAAGGAGTGACTCTTGTCAGGCTTCCAGCGGGGGTTACATGAATGAATCGAATCGACACCCGGAAGAGAGGGATTCCAAAGACTGTGCAGGTATGAGACTGCATAGTTTGGGATAACTTATAAGAATTAATTGGTACTACCTATACTAACAAGATGCATCCACTTTTCAGCAGCCCGGAATGGAAGAACTCCATAGTTAAGCGTGCTTAACTTGCAGTAATTATGGGATGGGAGACCTCCTGGGAAGTTTTCCCGGAAAGTGTGCGAGTGAGAAAAAAGCACATTGAAAAGTTTCGTGTTAGTATGTGGGGATAGTCATTGATTCTTGAAGCGGTGACCTTTCAGTCGTTTAGCATTTTCATTTTGCAGTTGAGCTTCCTTAATTCTGGTAAGCATTTCATTTTCGATTCTTGTAATTTTGATGTCACAAATTTTGCCTAGAAAGACTTCAGATAATTTCATATCTCTGAACCTCTCAATCACATCATAATCTCTCATCATCATGCTTGCTATGCTCACAGACTTCCGGTTCAATGCATCAACTACAACATTAGCCTTTCAGGGATGATATTTTAATTCAAAGTCGTAGTCTTTTAGTAACTCAGTCCACCATCGTTTTCTCATATTGACCAAACAAGTACTTCAAGCTCTTGTGGTCACTAAATACGGCAAACTTCATTCCATACAAGAAATGCCTCCACTGTTTCAACCTAAAAACGATCACAGCAAGCTCCAAGTCGTGAGTCGGATAGTTTTCTTCATGCGATTTCTCTGGAAAGACTTCAGATAATTTCATATCTCTGAACCTCTCAACCACATCATAATCTCTCATCATCATGCTTGCTATGCTCACAGACTTCCGGCTCAAGGCATCAACTACAACATTAGCCTTTCAGGGATGATATTTTAATTCAAAGTCGTAGTCTTTTAGTAACTCAGTCCACCATCGTTGTCTCATATTGACCAAACAAGTACTTCAAGCTCTTGTGGTCACTAAATACGGCAAACTTCATTCCATACAAGAAATTCCTCCACTGTTTCAACCTAAAACCGATCGCAGCAAGCTCCAAGTCGTGAGTCAGATAGTTTTCTTCATGCGATTTCAGCTGCCTCGATGCATATGCCACTACTCGCTTATCTTGCATCAGCACACATCCTAATCCCTTTTTAGAGGCATCACTGTACAATTCAAACTCACCTTCTGGATCAGGAAGTACTAACACCGGAGCAGTCGTCAATTTCTACTTAAGATTCTGGAAACATTCCTCGTATTCATGCGTCCAAATAAATGGAGCATCCTTCCGAGTCAAACGGGTCAATGGCAAAACCATTGTAGAAAACTCTTTGATAAATCTCTGGTAATAACCAGCCAATCCCAGAAAACTCCTAACTTTAGTTACAGTCTTGGGTCTCTCCCAATCAATAATTGCCTCTATCTTGCAAGGATCAACCGCCACTCCATCAGCAGAAATGACGTGACCCAAGAATTGCACTTGAGAAAGTCAAAATTCACATTTTGAAGGCTTTGCATTCAACTGTTTCTCTATAAGAATTTGCAATACAGTTCTCAAGTGATCCGTATGCTCTTCCTTACTCTTGGAATATATCAGGATATCATCAATAAACACGATCACAAATTGATCCAAAAACGGCTTAAAAATACTATTCATATAATTCATAAACACCGTCGGAGCATTAGTGAGTCCAAACGAAATTACCTGGTACTCATAATGTCCGTATCTAGATCGGAAAGCAGTCTTCGGAATATCTTCATGCTTAATTCGGATCTGATGATAACTTGACCTCAAATCAATTTTTTAAAAGACACAAGCACCCCTCAACTGATCAAGCAAATCATCTATGCGAGAGAAAGGATACTTGTTCTTAATAGTAACCTTATTCAACTGATGGTAATCAGTGCATAATCTCATGCTACTGTCCTTCTTCTTGACAAATATAACTGGTGCTCCCCACGGGGAGACACTTGGCCTGATAAACTGCTTAGCCGAAAGCTCCTCAATATGCTTCTTTAACTCGGCTAATTCCGGTGGTGACATCCGATATGGAGCCAAAAAATAGGCCCCATATCAGGCAACAAATCAATCGTGAACTCAATCTCTCTAGGAGGTGGAAGTTGCGAAATCTCATCCGGAAACACATCCACAAACTCCTTCACCATGGGAATAATGTTGATTTCCTCATGCCTTCCACCCACTAAACCCCCCACAAAGACATATCACATATCCCAATTCAACTTGTAGTAGAATCATCAGCAGAAAGCATAATTCTTTTTCCACCACAGCAGTCTATCATAGCACAATGTTTCGATAACAGTCCATTCCCAAGATAACTTGAAGACTGATCATAGGTAGACAAAGAAAATCCAATACATAGTCTCGGCCTTCATATTTAAATTCAACATCCTTGCATAAAACTGATGTATAATACTTCTCTCTAGTAGCAGTCACCACTTTCATTGGAGGAAAATTTCGTACATACGTAAATTTAGCTCAAAGGCCATAAAATCAGACATACAGGAGTGTGTAGCTCCTGAGTCAAACAAGACTTCAATATCCATACTATTAATATAAATTGTACCTTTCACGAGCTTTGGAGCCTTTTCTGATTGCTGACGGTCCATGGTTTACACTCTACCAACAGTCTGGGACTCTATCTTAGGTTGAACAACCGAAACAGGAACGACAGCAGCCTCAACTGCCATAGTCCTCACTTCATTTTGAGGGCATTGCCTAGAGTAATGGCCAAATCTTTCACACTTGTAGAAAATAATTTCACCTGTGGCACACGGTCCTTGATGCTCTTTTTCGCATCCTCTACACGGTCCTTGGAGGAGGTCCTCTATCAACAAAACTCTTTTGGTTTCCGGGCTTCTTGATTATATATCAAGCGAATTATTCACACTCAGCTTCTTACCCTTCATTTTCTTGTTTTTCCAAGAATTTGAGCCAGTTGCTCTACTTGCATTAGATGTTTGTGCCTGAAAAGTAGAAGAAGTTTATAGAGTGACTAAGACCAAGAAGCCTTCAGAGGCACAAACATCTAATGCAAGTAGACATTTTTTGAGACATTTTCTCATTTAGACCCAAATGAAACTTGGAGGTCATCTCGGCAGAAGTAGGTAGAGCTCTCCCGTAGTTAGCATACTTCACCATTTCATTGAACTTGGAAAAATATTGGTCAATGGTCATCGACCTTTGCTTCAAATCATTATATTCATTGTGCTTCCTTTCCCTAGCCTCTCTAGGAAAGTAGTTATTCAAGAACAAGGTCTCAAACAATTGTCAAGTGATTTCCTAACCTTCAGCCTCCAACGATTGCACAGTGTTCGTCCACCAATCCTCGGCTTCACCTTCAAGCATGTACACCGAGTATACCAACTTCAGTGCATCTTCAGTGCATCAGGGCATCTCATCACCATGAAAATCTTCTCCATAGCTTGGAGCCATTTCATCGCAACCAACGGATCATAGCCTCCAGTGAAGGATGGAGGTTTGTGTTTCTGAAAAGAAGTTAATTGCCTTTCATCTACGTCTGGCCCACCAATATGTTCCACATGTGGTTGATGAACCACAGTATGATGACTAGAGCCATCATCTTGGTGACTAGCCCTTCTTCATTGTTACCCGCGTCACCCTTTACCTGAAGAGTAACTGGAGTAGGCGTGGCAGTGTGAGGAGGAGGAGTGGGTAGTCTATTTTCATTTCCAGCACCCCTCAAGGTCCTCAACTCATTCATCATAGCGGTCATAGCATTCCGCGCATCTTCATTCGTCTTCATCAAGATGACATACAGTCAACTCCTTTTGCACGGCTGCCAAAGTGTCAGCCACAGGATCAGACTGTTCACCTGTTGCCCCACGACCACTTCGGGGCCTAACTAAAGCAGCCAAAACAGGATCTGGCTGAGCATTGGCATTCGATGCCTCGGGGTTGTTCTGATTCCTCGTCATGACACTACACATGTTACACAAAGAAATGAGTTGATCAGGCTCACACTCAGTGATCATAGATGCAATAATCATAAAGAGTACCACCAAAACAACTATAAAGCATTAAACACCAAGCAGACATAACAATATTCCACAAGTCCAAACAAACAAGTCCAATGAAATTTTATCCGTATTATAATTCAATATCTGTGATTGTAACTTCCGCCTAATGTCATACGTAAAATGTTAACAAATCGGTTCTAGAACGGAGTGTTACATTTTATGGTATCAGAGTAGTTTCTTAGGAAAACTGGTGGATTATTGTTATGCCTACTTGGTGTTTAATGCTTTATAGTTGTTTTGGTACTCTTTATGATTATTGCATCTGTGATCACTGAGTGTGAGCCTGATCAAGTCATTTCTTTGTGTAACACGTGTAGTGTGAGACGAGGAATCAGAACAACCCTAAGGCATCAAATGCCAATGCTCAGCCAGATCCTATTTTGGCTGCTTTAGTTAAATCCTGAAGTGGTCGTAGGGCAACAGGTGGACAGTCTGATCCCGTGGCAGACACTCTGGTAGTCGTGCAAAAGGGAGTTGACTGTTAGTTGTCAAGCTAATGAGAATTTGATGAAGACGAATGAAGATACGCGGAATGCTATGACCACGATGATGAATGAGTTGAGGACACTGAGGGGTGCTAGAAATTAGAATAGACCACCTACTCCTCCTCACACAGTCACGCCTACTCCACATACTCTCCATGTATAGGGTGGAGCGGGTAACCATGAAGAAAGGGCTAGTCACCATGATGATGGCTCTAGTCATCATACTGTGGTTCATCAATAACATGTGGAACATGTTGGTGGGCTAGTTGCAGATGAAATGATGAAAGGAGATTGACTGCTTTTCAAAAACATAAACCTCCATCCTTCACTGGAGGCTATGATCCATTGATTGCTGCTAAATGGCTTCAGGCCATGGAGAAGATTTTCAGGGTGATGAGATGCCCTAATGCACTGAAGTTGGTTTACTCGGTGTACATGATTGAAAGTGAGGCCGAGGATTGATGGACGAACACCGTGCAATTGGTGGACGAACACCGTGCAACCGTTAGAGGCTGAAGGCCAGGAAATCACCTGGCAGTTGTTTGAGACTTTGTTCTTGAATAACTACTTTCCTAGGGAGGCTAGGGAAAGGAAGCAAAATGAGTATAATGATTTGAAGCAAGGGTCGATGACCATTGAGCAATATTTTGCCAAGTTCAATGAATTGGTGAAGTATGCTAACTACGGGAGAGCTTTACCTACTTCTGCCGAGATGACCTCCAAGTTTCATTTGGGTCTAAATGAGAAAATGTCTCGGAAAATGTCTAATTGCGATATCGGTGAGTTTAGCAAGTTTGTGGACCAATGCCAGAAAGTAGAAGAAGTTTATAGTGTGACTAAGACCAAGAAGCCTTCAGAGGCACAAGCATCTAATGCAAGTAGAGCAACTGGCTCAAATTCTTGGAAAAACAAGAAAATGAAGGGTAAGAAGCTGAGTGTGAATAATCCACTTGATATATTCAAGAAGCCTGGAAACCAAAAGAGTTTTGTTGATAGAGGACCTCCTCCAAAGTGTAGAGGATGTGGAAAAGAGCATCGAGGTCCGTGTGCCACAGGTGAAATTATTTGCTACAAGTGTGGAAGATCCGGCCATTACTCTAGGCAATGCCCTCAAAATGAAGTGAGGAGGACTATGGCAGTTGAGGCTGCTGTCGTTCCTGTTTCAGTTGTTCAACCTAAGATAGAGTCCCAGACTGTTGGTAGAGTGTACACCATGGACCGTCAGCAATCAGAAAAGGCTTCAAAGCTCGTGAAAGGTATAATTTATATATCAATAGTATTGATATTGAAGTCTTGTTTGACTCAGGAGCTACACACTCATATATGTCTGATTTTATGGCCTTTGGGCTAAATTTGCATATGTACGAAATTTCTCCTCCAATGAAAGTGGTGACTGCTACTGGAGAGAAGTGTTATACATCAGTTTTATGCAAGGATGCTGAATTTACATATGAAGGCCGAGACTATGTATTTGATTTCATTTGTCAACCTATGATCAGTCTTTAAGTTATCTTGCGAATGGACTGGTTATAGAAAAATTGTGCTATGATAGACTGCTATGAAAAAAGAATAGTGTTTTCTGCTGATGATTCTGCTACTAGTTCTTCCCCATATCTATCTGTGTTGCAGGTTAGAAAGACTTTGAGGGTCGGGCCATTGGGATTTATCTTTGTGGGGGGTTTAGTGAGTTGAAGTCATGAGGAGATCGACACTATTCTCGTGGTGAAGGAGTTTGTGGATGTGTTTCTGGATGAGATTCCGCAATTTCCACCTCCTAGAGAGATTAATTTCATGATTGATTTGTTTCCTGGTGTGGGGCCTATTTCTTTGGCTATATATCGGATGTCACCACCGGAATTAGCCGACTTAAAGAAACATATTAAGGAGCTTTCGGCTAAGCAATTTATCAGGCTAAGTGTCCTCATGTAGAGCACAAGTTATATTTGTCAGGAAGAAAGACGGTAGCATGAGATTATGCATTGACTACCGTCAGTTGAATAAGGTCACTATTAAGAACTAGTATCCTCTCCCTCGCATAGATGATTTGCTTGATCAGTTGAGGGGTGCTTATGTCTTTTCAAAAATTTATTTGCGGCCGGGTTATCATCAGATTCGAATTAAGGAGGAAGATATTTCGAAGACTACTTTCCGATCTAGATACAGACATTATGAGTACCAGGTAATTTCGTTTGGACTCACTAGTGCTCCGGCGGTGTTTATAGATTATATGAATCATACTTTTAAGTCGTTTATGGATCAATTCATGATAGTGTTTATTGACAATATCCAGATATATTCCAAGAGTAAAGAGGAGCATGTGGATCACTTGAGAACTGTGTTGCAAATTCTTAGAGAGAAACAGTTGTATGCAAAGCCTTCAAAATGCGAATTTCGACTTTCTCAAGTGAAATTCTTGGGTCACGTCATTTTTGCTGATGGAGTGGCGGTTGATCCTAGCAAGATAGAGGCAATTATTGATTGGGAGAGACCTAAGATTGTAACTGGAGTAAGGAATTTTCTGGGTTTGGTCGGTTATTACCTGAGATTTATCAAAGGGAATTATTGATTGGGAGAGACCTAGATTGTAACTGAAGTAAGGAGTTTTCTGCAATGGTTCTGCCATTGATCTGTTTGACTCGAAAGGATACTCCATTTATTTGGATGCATGAATGCGGGGAATGTTTCCAGAATCTTAAGGAGAAATTGACGACTGCTCCGGTGTTAGTACTACCTGATCCGGAAGGTGAATTTGAATTATACAGCGATGCTTCTAAAAAGGAATTGGGATGTATGCTGATGCAAGATAAGCGAGTAGTAGTGTATGCATCGAGGCAAGCTGAAAGCGCATGAAGAAAACTATCCAACTTACGACTTAAAACTTTTAAGTATGAAAGTTTGATGAGTTAGCTTTCTAATGCCACTAGTTTCATAATAGAAGGACTTGTATAGCTCAGGTTATGCCCATCCTTCTGCATAAACTTTCTAAACTGAGTTACACTGCATTGTATATATGTGCGCAATCAGTTTGCACATGTACTGTGTGCGCAACTACCAGTAGTACTTGTGTAATATGTTTCAAGTCGACATTAATTCCATAATCAGTTATTTTAATTGCAATAATTAGGTTTTTTTGCCCCCAAGCAATGTATTTCGTACTATAAGAGATATTATGAATTTCGTATTATAAGAGATATTATGATATAATATAGATAAATTGAAATGTTGACCAGCACATAGACAACATGAGCATAAAGTGGGAGTAGCAGAGATGAGGATGTTAAGGTGGATGTGTGGTTATACAATGATGGATAAGATGAGAAATGAAGATATTCGACGAAAGGTAGGAGTACTACCGGAGGCTGAAAAGATGAGAGAACATAGATTGAGGTGGTTTGAGCACGTAATGAGAAGGCCCCTGGATGCTCCTGTAAGAACAAAAGTTTGTTACCAAAAGCTCAACACAAAGAAAGGTAGAGGTAGACCAAAACTTACTTGGGGGAAGGTAGTAAAGCAAGACTTACTGGATTGGGATATAGATTGGCGGACAGTGTGCCTTAGAACGTAATGGAGAAAATCTATATGCATGGTGGGAGGTTAGACACGTTGTTATTCCTATGTTCCAGATGGTCCATTTTTAGTCATTTTTCCTCTTCATCTCCTCCTTTCTTCTTTCCCCTTCTCCTTTCACTTTTATATTTATTGCTATTTTATTTATTTATTTATTTTTATTTTTTATTTTTTTCAACCCGTTCGTATCTTTTATTTGGATTTATCGATTGGCGGACAGTGTGCCTTAGAACGAAATGGAGAAAATCTATATGCATGGTGGAGGGTTAGACCCGTTGTTATTCCTATGTTCCAGATGGTCCCTTTTTAGTCATTTTTCGTCTTCATCTCCTCCTTTCTTCTTTCCCCTTCTCCTTTCACTTTTATATTTATATTTATACATATATATATATATATATATATATATATATATATATTATTACTATTTTATTTATTTATTTATTTTTATTTTTTATTTTTTTCAACCCGTTCGTATCTTTTATTTGGATTTATCGACCACCGATCTCAATTAATTTGGGATAAAGGTGTTGTTGATATTGATGTTGATAGATAAATTCAAATATTAATTACAATAATTTTTCAGGTCTCAAACAATGTACAGATGCTATAGTCCCCCAGAGGAGACAATGTGATCTAAATATAGATAAATCAAACAGCAATCACAAGTAATTTTGCTGGTCTCAAACAATATATAGATATTATATACTCCTACTGAAAATAGAGGATCCATTTTTTTTTAACTTCCAGTAATTTAGCTCTAATTTCCCAGAGGAGTTGATCCAACTCAGCTAAATTTAGTTCCACTTACTCTCTGCATAACCAAGAGAAAATGGATTGATGCTACTGCTGCGTAATGAATTCTCTTGATGCACAAAAAGATTTGGGTGAAGGTTTTCGTCATCTTCAAATATTGTCCATCCCATTGAGTGTTCATGTTTTTCTTCAGCATCGTTGGGCATATTCTCCATTTCTCCAACATGGTCGTCTTTGAATTCTTTCTTCTCCACATCCAACACAACATTATCATATCGGTCACACCATGATCTTCAACACAATAGACAAATAAGAAAGAACACTTAAGTATGCATAAGTGTTGTTCCAGTGCTATGTGGTCCAAAGTTTTAAAAAAACAAACAAACAAACAAATAGCTAGAGCTACTAACTGTTCCAATTTCCAAACAGCTTAAGCATAATACGGGTAAGTGAGTTTCAAATATAAGAGCGTTTATGTTAACTCACTTGGGAAAGTGATTTTTTAACCTGGCCTTGTCCTCTGGAAGTTTGGTAGAAATTGCTTCCATCTGATCATTCCTTTTTTATACAACAAAAAAGTAAGCAAGCAACAAACCAGAACATGTTTTAATTATGCCTAAGGATAGCAAATATGAAAAATGACAAAATATAGAAAACACATACGAAAAGTTGAGATTAGTGTCTGTGGTCCTCAATTCTGTCTGGATTCTTGACAGTTCCTTTGTATTGCCCCCCAAAACCTATAAACAAATTTTGCTCAATGTTAACTAGGCCTTTATTGTTTTCTTCAGAACAAATGAGATTCACTGTTTGAAACAAAGGAAGGATCTCAAACCTTATCATTGGAAAAATCAGATGGTGATGCATCGGAATGCAACTTGTTCATCATCAACTTCTTGTCTAACCCTTCACCAGATGCCCTTATAAAAGGCTGATAAGAAGCCAAGTAGGCCTCAGGATCAGACTTCTCGTTGAGAGACAAAGGAGCTTTCTCATCATCTGAGTCACTTGTCTTCCATTTCTTGAATCCATGAAACCCCCATTGCTTTTTAGCTGACTTCCCTACACTTCCCTCTGGTACAAGATGATTAACTCCACCACCATCACCATGTCCCTCTCTCTTATCCCTATGAAACAAAGTTCTGAACGGTTTCCTCCTTAACTTTTCTGGACCATCCCAGAAGGGGTTTTCCTTGGAATGCCCAAAGTCATTTTTGGTAGAGATAGAGGAAGGAGGGACTTTTGAATGGTTTGAGTACACGTGCAAAGAGGGTGAATCGAATATGCTTTTCTCCATTGATTTTTTCCCATGTTTGTAAGAAGAGCCAAAGCTAAAAACCGAGGTTTCTCCTTTAACCTGCTTTCTTGCCTGCTTTGATTTCTTCTTAGAATTTGAGTTCTCTTTGTTAATCAAGCATGGTTCATCCTTCAAGTCAATCACCGACCATTCTTCCTCTGAATTATGTTTCGGGTCTTTAAACCCTGCAATGATCATGTCCCTGCCTTCAACTTCAGTTCCTTGAGCCTCCAGTCTCTGGAGCAAAGGCCTTTTCGAAGCATGGTACTCTCCTTCAGAAATGCATTTAGCATAAAGAAGTTCCTAACAACAACCAAAAAGCAAAAGGGAGTTTCATTAAAAAAGAGTAATGACCAAAAAGGAAGCAAATGGCCGTTGAACTAGAAGGTTGGCAAAACTGAAAGATTCATCTAGTTCTTATTTGACACAGATACTGAGCTAATTTCTAGTTACTTACCTGTAAGAACATAAGCTTATCTTTGAGTATAAGGGGATGATCTTGTTGTGGAGATGGAGAAGCAAGAAGGGTGTCAAGCAAATGAGTTCTAAAAGCTGAAACTTCAGCTTCAGATAGAATGTCTTCTCGGTGAAGACCCATCAAGTTCAGCATCTGGTGGAACGAGTCTTGCTGCCATTTGAGGTTGTCTGATTGAAGCTTCCATAGCCTGTGCTCTGAGGAGACCAAACAACGTTTCTTGAAGCCCAAAGGTAGAATGGCCTTGCACATAGAGGTGATTGAATTGTGGAGAGTTGAGTAGTATGTGGTGGGTGCGTTCGAGTACACCATTTTTTCCAACAAAGAATGAAACTTTTGCCTGAAAGTAATAAATATTTTGCTGGGAAACTTGTAGATGGAACAAATAAAAAAAAGGGTGATGCGGATTATGGGCATTTCTCGAAATAACGCTGGTTTTGAAGTTGGGATGCTGCTTTGAACGGTCACATGATGATGATGCCGGATCTAGCCGTTGGGGCGTGTGGGTGGACCAATGCACCATGGAAAACAAACGCTGTCGT